TCCGAACTTATTTTATGAAAATTTGTCTGAAGGAAACTTCCCCATTCTAATTTGAAGTTGATCAGTCTCAATTTAAACCTGAAAAGGTATAATCTCGAAAGGAGAACGTACTTTCCAGTTTATAGATATCATCCAGACCCTAGACCCAACAAATATGTTCATTACCTTCGACAATTTCGTTCCTGGTATCCCATTCACCGAAATCGAAAGCCTTATTCCGCTCCAAGTACAGGAGCGTTAAGTTCTTCTCCACACAGACCAACACAAGAGCTAAATCCCGAGTTCCGAAACCGAGTTTCCATACCCACGGATCGTTCCTCATTGTTCAGCTATATACAGTGGAATTGCGACCAGGATAATGCAAATATCCTTGATTTAACTCGCACAATGAGACCGAAGCTTCGTCGCAAAGCTTCGGAACATGTTAGTTGTGTAGCGAAATTGCTGGATGAAGAGCCCTTCATTCCTTCGTACAGACAGCTCCGATTATAAATGCACCCTAACTCTCAAAACTCTCTCCCCGAGGAGTTTCCACCATCCACCATCACATTGGCGTATGACAATTTACACTGTTTCTGTAATTCGTGATGGAGTGAAAAAGAAAGAGGGAAGCGTTTGATGCGGATATTGAAATATTCAAGGAGAAGTTGACAGAAAACTCTGGAGTTTATGTGCAAGTTTCGGGGGTGAATAAATCTTGGCGACGGAACTGAGGAAACTTGTTTCATCCACCCGTCACACATGACATTTGGTAAAGTGTATATTAACTCTAATGGAATCTGCAGAACTATACAGGATATCTCGAAAATAGTGCGCAACAGCTACGATCAGACGCCTTTGATAAAGGAACAGAAAATAAGTACCTTGACAGTAGATTTTGAATATCTTATTTCTCTTGACTCACACAAAGCACTCTCTTGAAAGTGCTAGTCAGAAAATTGCACATTTGTTTCAGATCAACTAATTCATGAGAATTCAATTTTCTGAATAATTCGGTAAAGTAGCAACCTATAACAGTGTGATTCATGTGAGGGGGCCTTGTAACTGAAATTGTATATTACCCTGTACTTCTCAATGATCTTCGGCCATATACTTATGGGACACCAGCTTAAAAGTCTACACGTTCTTATAGAATTCTGGTTACTCAAATATTTGATATCGTTTGGAAGTGAATTGAACCATATCACTAATATTCTACTAATCAATGCAATAGGTGTACACTGTGTCCCATTTTGGTTGAGACTGCACTGTATCTCAGCTATTATTGAAGATAGACATGCGGTTTTCGCGACCCTGTATCACTTTTTTGTAAAACTCAAATACATAGGTTTGAATCACATGGCGTTTTCAGAAAGTAATAAATAAATGCATGTGTGAAAGAATTCACGGCCTACTATTAAAAAAACAAACTTAAAGATGAAATGTAATGGAGATTAGGTTGTGATATTTGCAAAAAATTGACGTTAAAATATGCAGGGTGTTTCATTTAAGAAATAACAAGTTTGTGCCCAATCTTGAAAACAGTGCTTTGAAAAAACAATCGGAATACGCCACTGACTTTTGAGTAGAAATATCTATTATAAGCAGTTTTCTTCTTTTTTTCATCTTATACGGGGCATGAGAAATTATAACATCTCCAAAAGTGAACATTTTCGTTTCCGCTCTGTATTTCAGGAATATTTCTGTTTGTGGCTTTGAAAGTTTTACAAAAAAGTGATACAGGGTCGCGGAAACCGCATGTCTCTATTTTCAATAACAGCTGATATACAGTGCAGTCTCAACCAACATGGGACACAGTGTACACTGTACAGTGCTTCCCAGAAGGTATAAGTCTAAATTTTAGGAATGGGATATGGTACAGGGTAATTCCGAATATACAAACAACTTTTACGGGATTCATAACTTCTATTACAAAATTTGTAGGGTTTGTTCTGAACCTCCAGAAAATTGTACGAGGTCAAACAAATGAATTTCGTTGAAATAAGAAATCGGTACCAACTTCGTTATTTTCAATGGAGAAAATTGAAGATCTTTCTATTCTGATTTCAAAAATATATAGTTTGTTGAATGAAATATGTTCAATCTCGAATAATTCGAAAACAGCTGAACCGAATTTCAACAACCTATGTATTTTTGAGATAAGCAAAGAAAGATCTTCAATTTTTTCGAAAGATATATAGGGTGTTCTATTTGGAATAACGAAGTAGGTACCAATTTGTTATATCAACGAAATTCATTTGTTTCACCTCGTACAATTTTCAGAAGGTTCAGAACAAACCCTATCGTGTCTTCCTTATGGTATGCTAGGGCAGTACTAGTTAAGCAGCTCGCTTCAGCGAATTAGGAATTGTACTGGTATAGCTTGGCTCCTTCTAGTATGTCTTCCTTCTTCCTAAAACTTCGAGTTATCGATCTATCCGAGGGTCTATCAACTTCACCACTAAGACCTTCCGTTAAATTATCAATTCAAATAGGTCTGACTAATTAATACATCCTTGGTTGTTATGGTTCCATTGGTTTAGGGAGATGATTCAGATCACTGTCTAGAGATACCACACCTCCAAAGGAACATATGATGCTGCCTTGAAGGATATTGTCTTGCTTCGCATGATTTGTTCGAACCTGATCGAAGATATACTGTATGGTTGTGCTAAGGCAAACTTTGTCTCTGAACCAGATATTCTACTAACCAAGCGATCTGACTCTTCTTTGTCTTCTTCACCTCTTTATCAATCAACCCCTCTCGAATGATATCTGATCATTTGACTATCAGACGAAGATCAAATCCTTCTACATATAAGGACCTTCTTCTCAAAATTACCTGACCACAGGTTCATATTGCATCAATTTCGGTTCGGTGTATTGCCTCATTATTTGTGAGAATGGCCCCACATGCTCACTTTTCGATTGAAATGCTACCCGTATCATTACGAAACTGTGCATGGTGACGATTGCAAACTGAAACGAGCACTAAAAGTTTCAGTCATTGGAGACCACCATACCACTCGGATAAGATAACATCTTACAGAATGTCTTCTCCGACTTTATATAGGCTTTAGTGCGATTGTAGATAGCGCGTGGCTACTGCAAGTTGTTATACGGTAAAGATAACTGGATTGTTGTTGTTGATTTATCTGTTTGAGATGAAACTCACATCCAGCTTTAACACTAAGTCTCTTACATCATGATGATTTATAGTTTGTTTTCATAACTCTGGGAGATTGGTGTGTTCATCCTCTACAATTAGGTCGATTCTTTTGATTTGTTTGCAATTGTTACATCTATAATACAATAAATACATACAGAACTGGAAACAGTGAAAAAAGTAGACATAGTATAGTTAATAACATTGCAAACAGGGAAATCTGCTCCATGATCTGGAAAACAATTGATTTAGAAAATAATAAAGGACATAGTAAAAACATGAAAAACTTACCGTCACTGTAAAATGATATAAAATTATGTTATGAATTTATTGTCATAAATTTATCGATTAAGGGTCGGGTTCATATTTTGCTCTTGAATTACCGAAAGGTGATAATTACACTTAAAAAATTCAAACTGAAAAGTTTGATGAGGCATCAGAATCAATCTGATAAAGAGAAAGAATCACATGCGCGTGAAAATGAAGGCTATACAAAAATTGACATGACAGACGTCAGAAAATTTCAAATGTCAAGTCGAGCAGATCATGGAACATAAAGATACATCAGTAAGAATATTATGATTTGAGCAGTGAGAACACAATACCAGAGAACAAACACTATGTCACATTGGAAACGGAATCAAGATTGGTAAACAATACTCTCGATCTCGATGCCCTGAAACCACCAACATACAAAAAAGAGCGAATTAATTGGGATGGTTTTATTAAGTGACCTTTAATGAATTTAGAAATTTGAGGCAATTGAAATGGGTTTGTTCATTCAGAGAAATTACATTATCATTTTTCAAGGATACATTTTTTTCAAGAATTTCTAAAAGATTTGATAGACGACCTTTTTGGCATACATGTAAAATTTCCAAACTATTGTCAATGTTGAAACTATGTTTGGAGTCGAGAATGTGATTGGCTGGCAAAGGAACTACTAGTGGTATATTCATCTAAAGGAGGCAAGTTTGTTGCCTTTTCTATGGGTTTTATATGCTCATTGCTAATTCAACAGAATCGACCCGATCTATTGTTCTGTCTGGGAAATGATTCATCAATCCACATTTCATCAGCATGATGGTAATCTTAAAATGCTATTATCTGACACATAAGAAGTCGGTAATATAAATTGGCTCGATTCTCAATCATCCCTTGCCTTTGACTCAACAACCGATGAAATTTTCCAATACGCTCTGCCGACAATGCACGGCATATCCCATCATTTTCCGCTTTCCATCGAAAAGGGAATTCCATTGTGTGATGAAGATATTACATTCGGGACGAGAAATTATTCGAAGACTCCTCGATTTTCCACCCGAACGGCATTTAAAACTATTATATTCTAACGAAGTTATCCTTTGAGGATGATGGCTTTCCAGAAATTCGACGTCGTCCTTTGGCATACTGGCGGTTTTGGAATTGTTGCCTGTTTTGGTAAACAGGAGATCAAGAACGTAGAGGCTCAGAGAAAAAGCGCTTTTTCTTCTCTTCCTCCCTATCTTTGCTGCTGTGGGTAGTAATGTATACATGATAATGTTAGGTTCATATCTGAGAGACAAAATTCCTTGAATCAATATAATCGGGTTTTTTATTGATGACCGTGTATAAACTCGCTCTGCTCTGCTTTGCTCGTGCTTAAAATACTTGTTACTAAAAGGACGTTTATAACACTTGTTACATAATATACTATTATAGTAATATATGGATATTACACTGGCAGAATACCTATTTGCTTACATTCTATAAGTACGGAATATAATAACAGCATAAACCCCTACTCACACCGTTATCTTCAATTTCTGTTTGTTTCGTTTGATATTCGATTCTTGTCTCAACGAGCCATCACTTTTCATAAACTCCAAAGAGAATCTCGACACCCGTGCAGATACCGCAAAGCAAATATTGTGACAACGATCCAACACGTGTCATCTCGGAAGAAACCGTTTACCAACGATGTCGCCTCAGTCATCTCGAGCAGCGACAGATTTCTGAGGCCGAAGATGTTTTCATAACGTCTTGGAAAATAACAAATCTTGCGGAAGGAGGTCGCAGGGAATATTAAAAAGGTCGCGTGTCCTTTATGTTTTCGCGCTACAATCGTTTCCATGTCTCCAGACTTGGAGGCACTGGATAATAGCCAGATTTTAGGTACCGCAGAATTCGTGGAATCTGTAGGTACTGATGTTGACATGTTTGACGAAACTGTTGTTTATTTTGTTGATACCAGTTGTACGGTGATTTGTTTTTTTGACAGTGACAAAAATAGTGAAAGATTTGCAAAAATATTTATTACAAAATTTGAGTCCATCAGGTGAATTTAGTCTCAAATTTTGTAATTAATCGCCTCACTGTAGATTCAATAGGCATAAACTTGACGTAATTGGCGAACTTTCACCATTTTTGAAAAGGAGTAGGAACTGGTTGTACTCTTGCGATTTTCCAGTTGGACGGCAATATCCCCAATTTGTTAGAGTATGTCCTCTCGAATCACGAGAGTAGACAAATTAACAGTCAACAGTGAAGTTTTCACTGCTAGATCACTATCAAAAAATCGAAATAATACACACAAACAAGCAAATGAACCATTTCAAAACAATGTACTTTCATATAGTTCCACAACAGGCCACTTTGGCGCTGCCATCTTAAATTGAGTCGCCTATGAAAGTGTGTTTTTAAACTAGTTTTTCCCATAATGCTTGTTGTTGTGTTTTCTCAATCGCAGATTAGGAGAACAATCGGAATATAAAGAAGCTGCTTCTAAAGATCTGTTTTTTTACGGAACGAAACTACAAGATATACAATAATAATTTTAACTCTGACAATTTCTCCTAATATCGGAATTGTCACCCACTTGTCAATGCTTCTTTCGAATCATACAGGGGATGGATAGATATAGGAAACCTCTTCATTCTCCCACCTAGACAAACAATGATTTGTAAATTCATTGTTTTCTTCCATTTTCATGTCAAAGGTTGAGGCGTCTGGGAGGATTGACCTTTCTTCCAGATCTTGTAGCTCCTCTTTCTGCTTCATTTTCTACATGCTCATATTTATTGTTCTCTCCATTATCGCATTGAACTTCTTTGGCTAACACCTTTTTCATTGCCTCCTTCTCTACAGAGTCTTGGACCTTTATAGGATAAAATTGAATAGGTCTCAAGAATTGGCTATACCTGTAGATGTTCTCAAACGCAACAATTTCGTTGATCCGTATTCACCTGGAATCACTTCAATAATTCTTGCTAAACGCCATTCATTTCGTTTGCAATTTTCTATCTCTATCAATCCCAAATCTCCAACCCTTGGACCGGTTCTTCTGCGGGCATCTTTCTATTTTTCAGAGCTACTCATTCCTGACTTTCCTTCTCAATTCACTGAATCTTATTCGGTACTTATATCTGCGTCTGAAATCGTTTGCTTCAACTTGGTTCAAGTCTGGAACACCTACTTCTTCTATTTCTTGCAAGAACATTGCTGGAGTCAATGGTTGCCAATCTTCAGGATATCCAGTTAAACCAGTTAATTGTCGTTGATTAACAACAGCTTCGCAATCACAGATTATGGTTAGTAATTCCTCGTGAGTGAGAGCAGCTTTTTCCAATGTTTTCCTGGGCAGAGGTTTCAAAATTCCTATGAATCGCACCCACCATCCTCGTGTTTTCTCAATCGCAGATTAGGAAAACAATCGTAATATAAAGAAGCTGCTTCACAAGATCTGTTTATTTACAGAACGAAACTACAAGATACAATAATAATTTTAACTCTGACAATCTCTTCTAATTTCGGAATTGTCACTTGTGGACCCTGGCATTGAAAACGTGTACGATCGAGTTTCCGATGTGGAAAGCGACATCGACTCCACTTTGACACCCGGCTGTCGTGTTGACTTATTTTCTCATTTCCCTGCTCTCGTTTCACCTCATTCGGAACGACGATTATGCAAAATGGAAAATAAGAACTAGGATCTTTGGTGCGGGCCTTACGCAAAATGGTAATGAACAGTCGTGTTCTTATGAATAATGGGAGATGTTTAATGTCATTTATTATTATTACTCGATGATTTATCGGTATTGCGAACGAATGCAATAAAATAGCATCAATTATTCTACAGTGCTTTCCAGGCGCGTATTATCTGAATTCAATGAAAATTCAGTGATTAGTTTTTTGAAATAATGTTCGGAACTATTTTGTATTTCATTATAGAACTTTGCACTAAATTCTGGGTATGTTTCATTTACAGGGTCATTCCGTATATTCAAACAGCTTTTACAGGGTTCATCACTGATTCCTTGAAGATATTACAAAAGTTGGGGGGTTCAAATCGTAGAAATCATCTACACAACACATCACAATAAATAAAACAAAAGATAAAACGTCATTGGGATTAACATCAAGGCAAATCGGGTGGAAATATGTTCAAGATGGCTGAAGAGCCAGACAAATCTGGCCCTAAAGAAGTTGAACATCGAAAAACTACGTTTTTTTCATAACAAGTTCATATCATCACATGTTTACTTTGCACTAAATTCTGGGTATGTTTCATTTACAGGGTCATTCCGTATATTCAAACAGCTTTTACAGGGTTCATCACTGATTCCTTGAAGATATTACAAAAGTTGGGGGGTTCAAATCGTAGAAATCATCTACACAACACATCACAATAAATAAAACAAAAGATAAAACGTCATTGGGATTAACATCAAGGCAAATCGGGTGGAAATATGTTCAAGATGGCTGAAGAGCCAGACAAATCTGGCCCTAAAGAAGTTGAACATCGAAAAACTACGTTTTTTTCATAACAAGTTCATATCATCACATGTTTACTGGAAAAATGTATTCAGAGAATGAAATAATAAAAAAATTCAAATGACATGACACGCTGACACAAAAAGGGAGAAAAGGACGCAATATTACCAACTAAGACTTTAAAAAGGAAAATTAAGAGGAAGAAGAAGATTTGTGGGGGCAAAAAAGTGAAGAAGAAATGAAGTTTGATGGAGAAAATGAAGATAAAAGAGAAGTATTTAGATTTAGTATTTAGAAGAATGGAGCATTTAAAAATATGAATCGTATACTTTAAACTGGGGAATAGTCATTCTACTGAAACAATAATTACAGTACCTGTCCTGGAATACTGTTCCCATATTTGGAGTGCAGCACCCAAACATACCCTGAAACTGTTGGATTCTGGGCAATTCGTCTCGTGGGTGATGCCTCGCTCACAAACCCACTCACTTCTCTGGAACACCGAAGAAAAGTTAATAGATATTTTCATGGACGATGCTCTTCTGAAATATCAACAATTGTTCCTCCGTTGGCAGTCCCCGCGAGATTAATTCGTCGAGTTGAGGCTTCGCACCCCTTCGTGGTCACTTTGGAGACCTGCAGAACATCTCTTTTCAAAGACTCGTCCATCCAACGAACAGCGAGGCTCTGGAACACATTGCCAAGGGAGATGTTCCCCGAGGCATATAACCTCCAGAAATTCAAGAAGAACCCCAATTCCTACCTTATTTCCCTTGGTTCTCACGATGTTCTCTAAACATTACAGGATATCCATTTTCGTGGAAACCAGAACATGAAAAAATCTGCTCAAGCCAGAGCATTGGCATCCCATGAGGGAGGCACCATATATTGGGAGATCGTAATTCTGCTCTAGAAAAAGGCTGAGTGAGCATTGTGACATTGAGTATCCACAAAAGACCTACATGAAGAACCAGCTATACCAGTACAATTTCTGATCAGGAGAAGTGAGCTTTTCAACCTGTACAGATCCACCTGTTGCGGTCATCATTGGTCAAATTACAGATACGTCTGTCTCTTTCATCAACCAACTTTAGTCGGCACGTGCTTCCCAAAAGCCTAAAGTCACTCTCCAGACAGTGAACGGAACGACTCTCAACGTTAATTACGCTTCACTTCCTGCCAAATACCGAGTCAGACACGCTTCTTTATTGTGTGTGTGGTGTGTGCGCACCGCTCTTTAAAGGACCTCTCGAAAACACTCTCACGTTCTCATTGGAGACATACCGATTGCGTTGCATGCATGCATAGATACGGCCAAGTAATGTCACTGGTCAAAAATAAGTTGAATAATAATTGAAAACCGAATATGATAAGGCGGATATCTGATCCAGGTGGTTAGGCGGTACCTGACCTCAATTTGCGCACAATTCGGTGGAGGCGGAAAGTTCTGGTCCAGAACTTTCGCTTCTACCGTCAGTGGGCTACTACTTCGTTATGGTTTCTGGAAATTTTTCTTCGTAATTTCAGTCTATCCCATTGGTCGAATGGAGAGTATCAGAAGCTATAGGTGGTGTAGAACTTGTATTTTGTAACTAATCCACATTGATAACAGAAGAATGAGTTATGATAGGAAGTACAAAGAGTTTTCAAACATCATACAGAGTGATCATAGAATCATAGATTCGTCCTGGTGTTGAAATAAAATGTTGTTCCAGGGAAACACCTGACATTTTGAATTCAATTTGAAGTATGAGATGAATAGTTTGAGGATAATAAACCTCAGAAAGGGTATACAGGGTGACTGTAACCAGAATCTCATCACTGGGATCTTGAAAACCGTAGTACATACAGGGATGGATACATTTTGTGGCAAAGTTACGAAATTTTAGGCCAATAAAATGAAAAATTTCGAATAGTTTTGTAGTTGTCTCAAAAGAAAAAAACGAAATTTCCTGCAACCTCTTTTATTTGAAGAACTTGAAGGAAATGAATGACACTCTACCATGACCACTTTCTGTTCCCTACAAATTGGCGTTTTCGAATTTGAAATAGGACGTTTCGTTTTCCAGGAACCATCATCAACCAGGATTTTTTATTCAAAGTTTTCTTACTTTGGGTTGCTTGAAAGTAATGACCTATTTTTTGTTCGAAAGTTTCGTTTACAAAAAGTGATACTTGGCACAAAAATAAAGAAACTATAGGATATCACTGGAAGTATTGTCAATTTTCCAACTTGAAAAACGGCATTTTGTTAGGCATAAAATTGCGTAATATAACCGACCCAGTATCTTTTCCACCCTGTACATGTAGTAACTCGTAGGAAAAATTTATAATATATTTCGTTCTTTCAACAATCGGAGAATACGAACAGCTTTACAATATTTTCATGATCTACAAAGCACAGATACGGCCAGTTTCAGAATACTGTTCTCAAGTATGGGGTTCAGCCCCCAAAGAAACGCGGATGCTCTCAAAATTCATCCAGAGGAGAGCTATTCACCAACTCTTTAACCCCGTTAGAACACCGTAGGAAAGTTGGCAACATTTCACTTTTCTATAGATACTTCCACGGGAAATCTTCCTCAGAAATATCTGCTATAATTCCATCACTAGCAATACCAATCAGACGAACTCGACAGGCCCAGTCAGCACACCCCTTCGTCGTTGACCTTGAAAAATGTCGAACAACACTCTACCAAAACTCGTTGGTCTGATTTTTTGCAAATGGAAGTAATTCCGAGAACTTATAACCTCCAAAAGTTACAACAAAAATTCCAACACTTACCTCCTCTCCCTATCCTTCCTAGGTACGCATGTTCCACGAACATTATAGGCATTTCCGTTCGTACGCTCCAAGAGATAAATAAGTCAATAATAAATAACTCTTCAAATTTCATGAGTACAAGAGAAAGTACAAACGCATGACCAGATAGTCATAATATAGAATTCACGTTCCCAACTACTTGTTTGAATCTATGCGAGCTGCCTTTAATTTTCCTCGAATGTCCAAGATGGTATCAATGTGGCGCCTAGTATGAGAGAAATTCCTCTGAAATAATGACAGAGCATATTTCGTCGTCTTTATCACTATAATTCATTATGCCAAAGCAGATGTTTTGCTACTTCCGTTTATATCATCTGCAAAATGGTGGAATTAACGGTGATCAAAATATCCATCACTATCGTCTAAAGCAAAAACGATGAATACTGTCGAACAACTCTGTACCGAAACTCGCTTGTTCGGAAACAAAAATCCAATACCTACTTTCTCTCTCCTCCAAAATTATAATAGTGATGTCCTTTACAATAAAAAAAAACTAAACTGCTCAACATACCCAAAGGTTCGATAGTCAATGAAACCAGCTTTCAGAAACTGAAAAATAATTGAAAATCGGTTGAGGCAGTCTGAAGTTATGATGATTCAAATTTCATCAAAAAAGTGCGATTTTACGTTTCATGAGTTGAGCAGTTTGGATGGCATATTTTTCATTGTCACTCACCCTCTCTAACTCTGCTCAGCTCCATCGACCTGCACTGCTCTGAGCTGCACTTGAGGCTCTGAGTGTCCTTTCCTGAGCAGGTTTTCCTGCCGCTGTCGCTGCCAGGGAGGCACTGCCTCTTCCTGATCTTGTTGCATTCCTGGTTGCATTCTGACCATTCCGACCAGGAAGACCATTTCGCTGGTTCGACTAGAGAAGATATGGTAAGTGCATTCATGAACTTGAAGTCTAGCATGTCGAAGAAATAGAGAAGTTCAGCCAACAATGATTTTTTGAACATTTGTGAAAATGATGCCATTAACGCTTTATCGGTCCACTTCTGATAAAACCATGGGCTAAGGAGTTTGACTGCGTGGGACATGAAATCCTGCTGCTAAAACTCTTCCATTATGTATTCCGGGGAACAGTCTTAGAATGGTTCAGATCTTATCTTACTGGTAGGAGTCAAAATATAACATTGAGCAACAACCCTTCTGATAGTAGAGAAATTGTACGCGGAGTTCCTCAGGGGTCAGTCCTAGGCCCAATTTCATTCTTGCTATATATAAACGATATGGCAAAACTTAATATATCTGGAGCATTTACCTTGTTTGCGGATGACACCACGGTACTTTGGCGTAATAAAGATCCTGATACTTTGACTCGATCTATCCACTCTGATTTAGAAAAAATTGAAAAGAGGTGTGAATCGAATATGTTATCGCTAAATGTTTTTCCAAAACAAATCTGATAACATCAAGTGGGACTTAGAACAAGTAATACTAGGTGAACGCATGATTGAAAGTAATGCCTGTAACTGAATTTCTTGGTATATTCATTGACAGTAATTTGAAATTTGATACGCAAATTACTGCTTTGAAAAAGAAATTGTCTTCTGGTTGCTTTGCCATAAATGTCATATCTCATGAACTCGGATTTTCAGCAGCAATAACTGCATACTATTCATTTTTGGAGAGTCATCTCCGGTATGGAATTCCTTTCTGGGGCTCAGGCAGCCAGAACTTGATGCAAAGAATGAGAAGAATAATATTCAAATTGAAGATGCGTGACTCGTGTAGGCCAATTTTCTGCATAATCAAAATATCAACAATTTTTGAACTATCCATTTTAGAGACTGTCAGTTGAGTGATTTTACTGGAATATGTAACCATATGGTTACAATTTATAAAATCGTGACAGATATATTTATCAACATAGAACTACTGTAATTGTCATACGACACAGATTCAGAATACACTGTGAAAGTATAGTGATTTTGTTGGGCCATTTTGATGTCTTGCAAAATAATAGGGCATGAAAAATGGTATAGTCATATGGTCACTCAAACCAATCAGGATTCGCTTAATTGGCGATCTAAGTACTACACTGATGAGGGCTAAAAGTCCGAAATCAGTGTGTAGGTGTCGAGCGCTAACCTGGCTATAATCTAATATTAATTTGGCATTAAGGAAAGAAGAACTTGCAGCAATTTTCGTTCATACGTATCGATGCAGATATTTCACGAAAATAATATGATTCAATGTTCTGCGTGGTATTAGCCAGGAAAGTATTCATTTGTTGAACATTAATGAAAATTACATTGGGTTTTTGATACTCATTAATATTTCATTCCGCTCTGAGTATTTTTGCTATCTCGACGCTGACATTTACATTATCCAAAGTTATAGAACCCCGGAGATAAAAACAGGAAGGGGAGATATAAGACTTATTTTTCTGTTTCAATGCTGGCTGATCTTCTCTATCGAAGACACAACCATTGATATGTTACCAAATCTAGTAACCCAACCTAAGAGATGTTACCAGATCTAGTAACCTAACCTAAGATATGTTACCAGATCTAGTAACCCAACCTAAGATATGTTACCAGATCTAGTAACCCAACCTAAGATATGTTACCAAATCTAGTAACCCAACCTAAGATATGTTACCAGATCTAGTAACCCAACCTGAGATATGTTAGTATTGAAAAGGAATATTCTCAGATATATTATAAACATGAAAAAATGGATACATTTGAATAAATACATTGAGAATTCGCATTCTCTATGTGATGAAAATATTGATTCTTTCTCGGCATATTCAACAGAAAACAACTACTTCCCTGGCTATATGCCACGACGAACATTGAATTATATCAATTGAACATACACGATAGGAATTTGAGCATAAAATGAATATCGTCTGAAATTGAACGATGGAAACTTGTTATTTTTATAGACCTTCAATCGCAGATTCGTGATTGGGTTTTTTTTTTTTTTTTTTTTTTCTCAATTCAGAATTTCTTTCCACGCCCTGTATGATAAATGTCAGTTTGTCATACATCTAAAACAACTGAGATATGTTACCAAATCTAGTAACCCAACCTAAGATATGTTACCAGATCTAGTAACCCAACCTAAGATATGTTACCAGATCTAGTAACCCAACCTAAGATATGTTACCAGATCTAGTAACCCAACCTAAGATATGTTACCAGATCTAGTAACCCAACCTAAGATATGTTACCAGATCTAGTAACCCAACCTGAGATATGTTACCAGATCTAGTAACCCAACCTAAGATATGTTACCAGATCTAGTAACCCAACCTAAGATATGTTACCAGATCTAGTAACCCAACCTAAGATATGTTACCAGATCTAGTAACCCAACCTAAGATATGTTACCAGATCTAGTAACCCAACCTAAGATATGTTACCAGATCTAGTAACCTAACCTAAGAACCACAAACATTGTAGAGCAAGATCAACTAAACACAAGGCTGATTAGCTATCTGATACAAAGAATGGCTACTTATAGGTTTCTTTGACATTCATGGCATTGTTGTTGAAGTTGGATCACAGTAGCCAGTGTGTTTAGTTTATCTTGTACCCAAAAAAGCATGATGGTGTAGAAGTTTATGATGAGATAATATGAAGAAATCATGTAGATATACATGATCTGGCAACAGAATTGAATGATTTCTTGGGCTGCTAAACAATAATAATTGTGATTTATTGTTAATGGTTTTGTGTTACTATTGGACAGTTCTTCGTGCAAATTTCAAGATATGGCAACATACGTCACAGTAGTCACTGTTCTCTAGATTTCTTTATGTAGGTAGATATTGTTAGAATCCTAGAATGATTATAGTAACAATTTTCCAAATATATAATATTTGTTTCTTCCCAAGGACCTAGTGAAAATCATTCAGTCCTATTGTCGGACCCTGTAGAATGTATTTAGTAGGTATAATAGTGTAAACCTAACCTACCTGAGTGTTGTGTGATGTCAGTGCTGGTGGAGTTAGAGAAGTGATGTTTTCTATTGTCTGTTGTATAAAAATATTTTGTCCATAAAGAATGTAACTTTTCTCGAAAATCCCACATTCGGAATGAACTTATTAATTTCAAGAAATGCAGGATTTTCGTGTGTCATTGGGAATTCATGTAATGTTTTTGAAAAAGTGGTGACTAACCTACTATAAAACACTCAAAAATATAATTATCAATTTTTTCAACAAACTATCTTTATTTATTGAGTGATGTTACCCAATGACCTTGAAAAGCACATAGTTTTCCTTACCGTATACGTTATCGCTAATGTCATAGTCGTAAGCAGTATCCAGTACGAGCTCTTCTACGGAAGCATGTGAAATGGGAGGTTAGAATGATAGCAACAGGTTAGTTTGGAGAATACGATATCTAATATAAACAGAATCCAAGCTTACTGAACATTCACAAGATGCCCTATTCATAGTCGAATTGAAAGTCACCAGAATGATTGTGAGAATTGAGAAAGAAATAACTATCTGAGAAAACTAATAAAAACATCAAGTCAGACGACCACAAATTATATTGATCAAATCATAGTAGTGTATTGATAGTTTCGACTCAACGGCCATCTTCAGACATATAAATACCCCTAAAGACTGTCACACAGTTTCTGTCAGTCGAATTTCTGTTGTTTCACCTGTTCGTTGGCTCTCGGCTCTTGTATAAAGGCCACCAGAGATGAAACTCTTCTTGAGTGAATTCCATAATCAGTTCGTTCTTCTGGCAGTTTAGTCGATTCAAAGAACATATAATTTCATTACCGGCGTGAATTTTCGAGTTTTTGACCCAGCCTTGTATAAATTTGTTATCCCCACATGTCTTCTACATAGGTATGTTTTTTCCTTAGTAGCTTTTTTCTGTTTGTAATATTCCACTCCTTACAAGTATTTATGTGTCTGAATCTATTTAAATATTTATTTATTTATTTGAAGTCTCACAAAAAAAAAACACTGCAGAGTAGTTAAAATGTAAGACACAAATGTAGCCGTTGAGCGGAGACTATAGTCACTACACAGGAATGATTTGATTTTGGATTTTTTACTGTTTTCTTCAAAAAATGGACCACTTTAAGGGATGGATATGGTTTCTATGACTTAAACGACTATCAAATTATAGTTTATTGAACGAAGAAATTGGGCATTTTATGAGATTTCAGCAACTTCAACATTATTGCATCAAGCCTACTTAGCACATATTGAAGCTGTTTGACAAAAAGCTAACATTTGAGAATACTGACTGTGTTGAATTTGATGATTATACTGAGAACTTCATTGAGATGATAGATTTCTGGACGATTTTCTATTGGACAATTCACTTTATATGATGCCTAATATATTTCCAAGAGAAAAATTGATTGTCTCTCACCTTGGGGACAAGGAATGCAGTCCTTGGTCCTCTTGATGCTGGTTCCTTGGCAGGTTTGGCCGCCATTGCTAGGAGGTGGATTGGTGCAGGTCCTGGTACTCATTTTTCCTGCTGATAAATTCGCTCCAGGACATCTGCAGTCCTGCCAAGTCGACCAGGACGACCAACCTCCATTAACTGAAAAACAGGAAAAAACAAAATAGAATAAAGTGATGAGGCACAATAATTATTATATTCACGTCTTGAAGACCTTCTTAGCATCTCTAGTTTACAATCGTCAAAAAATTGTATTTACAGTATACGTTGTGTTTGTGGAAAGTTTAATACAGGTGAAACCAAGAGACCTCTTTCAGTAAGGACGAAGGAACATAAGTACAATATAAAGAAAAGACACATCGATAAATCGAAACTAGCTGAACATATCCTTAATGAAGACGGACAACATATGGCAGAGTGGAATAATATTGAAATCATTGGAAAAGAAGATAACAACCAGAAGAGAAAAATCAAGGAATCTGCTTGCATTCTTCTGAACGGAGACAATAGCATTGCTTCTTGTTCAGTTGATATAGACAGAACATGGTATTCAATACTAAAATCTGAACATGAAAATGGTAAATTCAAGATTAATTAATGAAAACATCTTGTAACTCATTTGATTGCCAACGTCACTAAATGTCAATGAAAACTGAATAGCTTCAAGACAGATACGACGTTGCTATTAAAATAATCATTTCTTATGTTGAAAACGGGAGCAGATTCGGTCCCGAAACGTCCAGAGATAAGTGGAAATTTGATATTTTTTCTATAAACCTTTATTTCTCTTCTCCAAACTTTTTCAATACAAATTGTCACTGACAAGCTAGGAATTTTTTCTTTTAGGCTCTCTGATAGGGAAATTTTTCATACGCAGTGACATTTTGGGGCAAATATTCATATTTCAATTTTATAGAAACGAGGAGAGAAAATCCCAAAAAAATTTGGAATAATGAAAAACATAACTCTAGTTGTAACAACTTTTACATAGCAACATTTGTTAGAGCTGAGAGATATTCTTCATCAGCAGATTCATAATCTGACTTGGCAACATCTTATTTGTTTGAAATCGAGGTTTTAATGGTGTGGGACGTCAACAAGTCAGAACTGTTCAAGCTGTTAGGAATCATAACATCGGTATCATCCATCAGTTTACATTCAGTTCTCGGCCTGAAAGCGTCAATATTATTATACGAAATTAATTGGTTTGAATTGGAAAATCAGTTTGAGGCCAGGCTAATAACATTGTTGCAATCATAGCACGAACTGAGTTTTCAGACCGTTTAACGCAGTACCTGATCAAGTTCTCTGAATATCTTTTGCATAACAGAAGGATTTGTTTTCATAAAATAGTTATTTATGTATTAAGGGAATTATGAGGGCCTCAATTACCGATGGCAAAGTTTGCGTCCCGAGGGCCTCTGGCCCGAGGGACAGCAATTGCCAAAGGTTATTAAGGCTCTATAATTCCCGTGATACATAGATAATTTTATTTCTGACTGATTTCATTCATTAGATACCTTCCCGATTGGAAGTTAGACATGTTTTTCCGTATAGTTTCAATGTCATCAGAACGTCAGATGATGATCTTGACTACCGCGAATAGGAGATTCCTTATTGCTATGTTATTGCGTGGTTGTTGCTATGCATTTCTTATTTAATCTTAGCTAGGGGGAATTATAGCATCTATAACATCCCAAGGGAGTTATGACCCTCCTAATTGATAGTGTAACTAAGATGATATAAGCTTATAATATACCAGTCAGAAATAAAAACTATTTCACGTTTCACGAAGCATAAAAAGCATTTATCATAAATGAGTGATTTATTCTGACAGGTACAGCCACAAGTATTTCATGCCAAACTGACAGACTTTGCTTTCCTATCCATGGCTACATCCAGACTTTGCTTCGCTATCCATGGTTACATGGTTGGAAACATCAACGCTGATAGACCAATCACAAATGAAAGATTGTGGCTTGTGATTGGTCAGATTATGAGATGAGTGAAATAGTCAGTCAAATCAGACGAGAGATGACAATTGGTCCGCCATCTTGATCATTTTCATAAATCAATAGTCAAAAGTGGATGAAAATTCGACTTCAAAATTTTCAGAAAGCGTGGTAATAAAAATGCGAGATCCCGCAAAACACAGAGGCACAGAAAATGTGTTTCCTGACTAGAGTTACGTGCAATATCTTTTCAAATTTTGATAAAAAATCCGCTTGTACAGAAATGATGAACAGTTCTACATGAGTTCTGTAGATTATGTACAAAATTCAGTATGCAAGTTGAGTTCTCCCGCCCCTTTGAAGTATCCGTCAAACAAAATCGTTTAATATCTATCATATCACGAAAATAGCACAAAATGCACTATTTTCTTCATCCATCCATAGTTTTATTATGTTAATAGTGTTGAAATGAACATTTCATCACAAGTTATGTAATATTTTACTTTGCGTAAACGGTTACCTACGTGAAGACGTTTGAAAACTTTCGTCAGTTTTCAAAAGTGTCAAATCACATATCAAATTCAGAAAAAAATACTTTTCATTTGTCAATTGGAAAGCCATTATTGCCATCGTTCTCAATGCACTGAAGTTTCACAAACAAAAGATTATATTCATATATTTTCCTGGGAGTCTCTTAGTGAACAAAGCGTTTGAGATTACTTCGGCCGAAGCTGCTTGTAATGATATTATCCTGAATTTGATCCAGTTTTCCGTGATTTTCTTTGTCTCTTAAAGAAGGGAGAAGGTAATGAGATTCCAAGATAATTGCTTTAATGCGCTATCATTGTTTTGAATGTTTTGAAACGGAAAGCAAGATAAAATTATGAATTCCGATCGTGGAAAATGGAACGGCAGGTGGTAGTAATATTAGAATTTTCGTGACTGGGTGATATAAAGTGCACAGATTTGTCCTGCTTCGGAAATAAACTGGGCGTCAATTGAAACGTTAATAGTGAAATTTGGCATCAAGTTTGACTTCTCGTAATTTCTAAAATATTGAACCAATTTTGAATTGCCGCCCAGATTCTGAATGCCTTTTTCATCGTCTTTCGAACCGTTCCTTACAGCTTCTTCTAAATTAATCAGGATCCATGATACAGGGTGAAACAAAGTTACGTGCATTTTGGAAAAAAATTCTCCGCCCCCCCATTTTGTCGGAAGCTCACGATGCTCATATTTTATTCAGGCATTTCATAAATAGCAACCATACCTCGGGACATTTTCGAGTTTTTGCCAAAAACTACTGTGGTAGTGGCGAGAAAAAAAATTTTTTAGCATTTTTTTTAAATGGACTAATTACCTGTATCCTCAAAACGATTAATCAGTCTCTTTATTGTCATGACTGACTTATTGAAAATGGTACTTAATTGAGTTTGGGTATATCCTAATCGTCGTAACCTGAAATAATAATTATCTGTACTGAATTATAATTTATATCACTATAGTGATCTTACCTAATGATATTTTCCATTTCAACCCGATTTGAACGAGGCATCTTTAAATTTTTTAGGACCCGAATTACACTAACGTTTTCATGAAAATTGGCAATTGATATAACCTCTATGCATACCTACATTCTTTCAACAATACGCTGTTATAGAAACAAGGTATCGTTGTTTGTATTTGTTGATGAGATGTGTTGATTAACTGCTCACTAAGGTAGAAAACTTTTATCATAGACTGCGAAGTAATAAATTATTGATTGTTTTTGAGTAACCTGGTATACATACCTGCTCCAACGATTTCCTGGAAATCCATAAAAGCATCCATTTATGGAACTTCTCTAAAATTAGTCCATTTAAAAAAAATGCAAAAAAAATATTTTTTTTCGGAAACCACAGTAGTTTTTGGCAGCAACTCGAAAACGTCCAGAGGTATGGTTGCTATTTATGAAATGCCCGAATAAAATATGAGCATCGTGGTCTTCTGACAAAATGGGGGGGCGAAGAAATTTCTTTTAAAATGCACGAAACTTTGTTTCACCCTGTATCACGGGTCCTGATCAATTTAGAAGAAGCTGTAAGGAACGGTTCGAAAGACGATGAAAAAGGCATTCAGAATCTGGGCGTCAATTCAAAATTCGTTCAATATTTTAGAAATTACGAGAAGTCAAACTTGATGCCAAATTTCACTATTAACGTTTCAATTGACGCCCAGTTTATAATTGAAAAAGTTGATCATGAGAATCGGAACAACCACTTTAGATTTGTAAAAACCGGACTGACTGGCATACAACCCATCATCGTATTCTTTTTTTGTTTTGTCCAGAAAAATTCCACCACTGTTAAATACGACTGTCACAACAAACAGCGTTTCGGTTTTATTTTTCCATAGTCCTTCCAAAACTCAGCAGGGTACTATATTGTCCACGATGTTCGAAGTATTTCGAGTCGATGTATGACATGCGGCATAAAATTTCTGTTAGCATAATGTGGATGTAATGTATTCCAAAATATGATGAATGATATACCGCTCGAGGTTTATACGGGGATGGTATATTACTGCAATGTGTGGGTTGAGAAGAAAGAAGATCCATAACTCGTTGGATAAACGCCTGAATCAATGACAACGTACTGTAGTTTTGTATTGTTTTTATCCTATACCCATATGATTTTTAACTCAGAGATCCTAGCATCATTTTTCTTTTTCATTGGCACATTTTCCTTCAGAATATCAATAAGTGTTCTGTCTAATTTGGAGGCAATCCATTGAATTCTTGGATGGCATATATCACCAAGAATTGATTTTCATGACTGCATTTCATATCTGCGACAATTTTGAACTTATTCCGAAGCGTTTTCTTGAAATCAATTTGAGAAAATACTCATCATCTACATCATGCAATTTCACTGTGAGAATCTCAATTCATTGTCAATAAATAATGATAGCATGAATAATAAATAATCAACACCGTTTTACAAGCTTTTATTGAACCATCTGAGTCGATCCATCTTGCAGTGGAGTGAAGATAATTGGGCAGGAAGAAAATCTTTCATTCAACTCCACCAAAACTATACTTTATTCAACATTGGAAATAGGAGATGTTTGGAAGCTTCAAAGCTTCATCATCAGCAAAAATTATTATTGTTACAGGAAGTACTACAATAAGGAAGACAAAAAGCTACGTCAGACAAACATTCCGACAATGAAAGTCGAATTATACTCACCTGTTCTGGGGAAAATCTTTCACATGTTGAAAAACAAGATACGATTTACATATTAAATTTTTTTTTTTAGAAATGAAGGGTCTGCAATTAATGCGGAGCTTTGTCAAAATATTAATAAAAACATAATTGAAGAAGTGGTTGAGATTTCTTTCTCCAAAGTCAAAAAATTCAAAGAATCAAGAAATTTCCAACATTGCTCTGACCGGGGATGGGAAAACCGAGGCAAATGGTGTCAAAAATATCCTTGACATGAAGAAACATGTCCCTTTCTCAATGTAAAATAACGTATAGTTTCGTGGAGACTGTAAGATTTTCTTCCTGCCCTAGCTTTTATTTAGTTCCACCTGTCCCGGTGTCTATGTGAAATTTTTGTCAAATTCTTATCGTGTGTGTTAAATACATATAATTCAATGTTCGTCGTGGCATATAGCCAGGAACGTAGTTGTTTTCTGTTGAATAGACCGAGAAATAATTGATATTTTCATCACATGGAGAATGGGAATTCTCAATGTATCTCTTCATAAATATATCCATTTTTTGACTTGACTTGAATGATGGGATTTCTTTCCACGTCCTGTATGATGAATGTCAATTTATCAAACATCAGAAATAGTTATTTACACTACAAGGGAGGCAAGTGATACTTACCAGTCGAGGACATTGTTTGCGCCCGAGCGATAGCGAGGGCTTGCAAAATAGTCCGAGACTGGTCAAGAACACTGCCTCCCGAGTTTTGTATTATATTTTTTCTACTCCAGTTCCCTTAGATTAAAAAAAATGTTTTTCTACTCCTTACTCGGTAAGTACTTCATTTTGATACTGATTTGAGGGAGGAAAACACGTTCTACCTCCCTAGGGAGGTAAATATTTACTTACCTCCCTAGGGAGGTAGAACGTGTTTTCCTCCCTCAAATCAGTATCAAAATGAAGTACTTACCAAGTTAGGAGTAGAAAAACTATCTTTCATTGTTAACTCAATAGTGTTACCGTACAGCAATACCACTCGTCCTGATGGGCTCGTGGTGTTGCTTGGCAACAAACACAATTTCGTAAACAATGAAGCGACAGAATTATCTCAAATATTTGGGGCATCGTGATATTACTTCATAACAGGGGCTTTTGAGGTCGAGAAACAGGAATTTACAGTCAGAATATGAAAATTCAAGTAGGCGCCTTCAGAATGGTGACATATTTTGTTATTTCTCGCCTGATTCAACTCAAGATTTTTGTATATGTAAGAAACAAAATTACACTTTTGTGGGTGCTCGGACTTGGAGATATAGAACGCAACTATAGTCCACCCAGTATTCTTAGAAGAAGTGAGGTTTCAGCGGTTAAAACAAGAATGCAGCCATCTATAGAAAATGAGATAAATTCTCAAATTAATGCCCGCTTTTATAGCTCATAAGCTGACCAAAATAGGGAAATTCCGAGAACGAGTAACTTCAAAACTTCCCGATTACGATCTCTCACAGTCCACGAAGGAATCCGGGATCTTCTCGGAGGCAGCAAACGGGCCGGATTTTTGATCGAGAGATTATCCCAGTGTGGAACTGAAGAAGCTATACCTAAAAGCAGTGGCGTCCAACAAAAATTTCAATAGGTTCGTAAAGTTGAATACTTGATTAACCATTGATAATTTTGTCCCCCAACTGTAACAAGAATATTCGATCAATTTCATGATTTTTTCATGTCTTGGATGATTATGGAAGGATATTATCTATAACCTGTACGCAACGAAACGCACGAAATTCACAACGATGTCGAACAAAAAATGTCATATGACAGTTGTTTTGATATAGGTACACATTCATGCTGAACTTCATGAATTTCATTTGAAAATTATCATAATCATATTAAAATACTTATATCGGGTGTGATTTTCTGTTTTTTTTCATAGGTTCTTTAACTCTGTCACATCATGTTTTGAGGATGAGACCAGTAACATGAGATCACGTTTTCTATGACAAGAATAATATGCTTCATCATGTTCACTTGTGATCTAATCAAGGGTATGTTTGACTTGAAATCAATGTATGTTTTTTCGGACTCTGTTCATCCACCAAATTCACAACCACGGCAAAAAATTGCACTCCAATCCGAAATATTTTCAGTTCCACCAGATGGAACGATAGTCAATTATTTTTTTGTATATGTTCTGGTTCCCACGAAAAGGGATATCCTGTAATGTTCAGAGAACATCGTGAGAACCAAGGGAGATAAGGTAGGAATTGGTGTTCTTCTTGAATTTCTGGAGGTTATATGCGTCTGGGAACACCTCCCTTGGCAATGTGTTCCAGAGCCTCGCTGTTCGTTGGATGAACGAGTATTTGGAAAGAGATGTTCTGCAGGTCTCCAAAGTGACCCCGAAGGGGTGCAAAGCCTCAACTCGACGGGTTAATCTCGCGGGGACTGCCAAGGGAGAAACAATTGTTGATATTTCAGTAGACCATCGTCCATGAAAATATCTATAAAATAGAGCCAGAACGCCTACGGTGTTCCAGAGAAGTGAGTGAGTTTATGAGCGAGGCATCACCCACGAGACGAATTGCCCTTCTTTGGACAGAACCCAACAATTTCAGGGTAGGTTTGGGTGCTGCACTCCAAATATGGGAACAGTATTCCAGGACAGGTCGGATCTGGGCCTTATAGATCATAAGCAGCTGGCTGGAACTGAAATAGCTCTTGGTCCTAAACAGAAAACCAAGTTTTTGGGATGCACTTTTAGCAATTGATCTCACGTGATTTCAACAAGAAAGGTTATTGCTGATAGTAATACCAAGCATCGAAATGGATGTCTTCAAAGTCTCCTGACAAGCTTATTTTGGGCACAGTGAGAAAATGATGAATGAAACATACGCTACTGAAATTTGTTATCTCTGTGGAGACGCTATTGCTTACATCCTACGTGGTCTGTGTTCGATGGTTTTATTGTACAAGAATCTCTGGTGGGCATTGTTAGTTTCTTCCTAATGTGTGTCTTTGTTACCAGGAGAGCTAGATAAATCAAATGCAAGAATTCCAGTAGCAGTAGAGATGATAAAGAAGGATAAACTCACATCAAGTAAGATCATCTGGTGAATGAAAATAAAGGAAAACATGCTTGATCGGTGTATGGATTTCTATCATAGAAATTAGATAATCAAATGATTGTCATAGGTGATACTGAAGCCGGCTGTTTTTCGAATAATCTGTCAAGAAGACTTACATTTCAATACATAACTTCAATGGGAACTCATCATGCATGATATATTTTTCTAAATTCAATTTGATTCCTAGTAGCAAATAAGCAATAGTCTATCAAAAATAAAAATGAAAATGCTATATAGGAATAGATCGAGAACAAAATTCTTTTCAGTTCAATTCCATGAAAGACTTCTCTTGACCGAGTCTATCCATCTTGCTGTCTATGTTTTCAGTTGTTGAGTCAGACCATCTCGAAAAAAAATTAGAATCCTTTACACTCGAATGTCACAACCTGCCCAAAATCCCATAGACAATCCACCCATCATCGCTTGTAAACTTTTGTTTTCCATAAATTATTCATGACTCAAACTATGTATTACGAAGAGGACCCAAAATACCCCTCCTCCCTCCCCGTTTCCCCCCACAAACATGACTGGTGTAAAGAAAGAAGAAAATTAATTCACCTGCCATGAGAATCAATTTGGGCAGCGGAGTCTAGCGTACCGCAACCATTGACGTACGTTTGAGCTTTTCCAAGGGAAAGCATCCTTATACAATAAGTACAAGTGGAAAGTAGAATGCCGTAAATAAGTAGAGGGAAAAAGACCCATTGAAGAAGGAATTCTTTATGAAACAATGTTCTAGAATCATATATGCTTACTGAATTACCCTATATTCAACGTATTCGACATTATAATGATTATTATTGTAGCTCACATATTACATCACGAAGAAAAGTAATGTCTAATGCACTGAGAATATGAAGATACGTCTTCTTGATGTTTTTATTTTTCGTTCTGCCAGATGTCATCAGCTAGGAAAGTAGATATTTTTCTCTCGTCATCTATACCATTGTTGTTCATTTCATTGTGGAAATGACAATGAGTTTTGCCATTGACATTTTATTCAACTTTGAGCATTTTGGCTATTTTTGTGAAAGCCATCAAAGAGCTGAGCTCGATGGTTATCAGCTCTAAAATGGTTTGGTTATCCCGGGAAAAACTGAACGAGCTAGCCAACAGAAATGAAGTTACCCTTCTATGGGTTCCAGGATATTCCGATATCTCATTGTTGATATTGCCAAGGAGTACAAATGGCTCTGAATTAAACATCACTCAAACTCCCGTTCATTTCAAGATCTTTTATCATAAATCAACTTCTTCAAATTGAAACATCCAGTACCTCGTAGTTTCGATGAGGTCAGCGGAGTTCATAGACGTCAGTTCCTTAAAAATCAGCGAAAAACCGCTTACCGTGCGATAATACCTAGGTAAGCAATATCGAAAGGTAACGGCCATTCCAATAGCGGAAAATTGCGAACCTAGCATCGATTCCAAATATAAAGATGTTTTAATGTAAGTTGGTACTGTGTTTTATTCAATTGTTGTTTTGCGTTGTGTTTCATTTCATTCATTTAACCTACCATCGAAAAAAATTCAGGAAGTTTCTGAGGTTACTTTTAGTCACACCTGCTGGAGAAATTCCGGCTATACTTTCCAAATTATTCTCGGGTGTGTAAGGAATAAACCTGTTCGCCTCCTTGACCGTCCGCCTATGGTTTGGTAATTCATTAAGTCGTGACCGCCACAGCGATTCCCAGTGAATGTGTGTGCTCTGTGCGCTGGAAGAGTTCACAAATCTTCTGACACGGGTTAATTAGGGAACAAGGATGAATTCAATGTTCACACAATGTATTTATGATGCCTTGATGGGGAAATCTTTTTATAAATGAACGCGGAACGGTGTCAGAGCATGAGGACTGGATCCGAAGAGTTTGAAAGATATCACGATTTTGCTAAGTGGACTTTTTCTGTGTTTGGTCGTGACTCACAGAACCTTCGAAAATCTGGAAAAGTGAGATAGCAAGTTGAACTGGCACAGTCTCAAAAGAAAAGTTACAAATAGATTATCAAACTTTAGTTTTTTCAAAATGTTCCTTGGTTATGAAAATATAACTAAAGAACAAATCTTCATAGTGTGATTCGTCAGGTCATTTTCAGAAGAGAAGTTGCTATAAACATAATGTCGGCGGAGATGTTTCGATTCACAGATGCCACAAGGGGCAATTTTTTGCAGAAAATGTGCAACAAAAATATCGATGATAGGTTCAATGAAGAGTCTTGACTTATGGTTGTACCCAATAGTCTTGTATGCCTTCTTTTTGATATAAGGTTCTGCTAGCTTGATGGTTAAGCTAGAAAAACTTCGAGATAAATCCATGAATTTAAAAAAAAACTAAGTGCAAAAAAATCGGGAGAAGGCTAGGATTTGAGCCTTCAATTAGCTTCAAATTATGGTAAAATTCGTTTGGTGATTTGTTGTTGGTTTGTCATGTTCATGTTGGAGTTGGGAAAATTTTTGCAGAAAATGATTATCAAAAAATCTATAATAGGTTCAATGAAGAGCATTAAATTAGCCTCAAATTATGGTGTACTCAATATTCTTATATTCCTGTCATTTGAGATTTGGTTCTGCTAGCTTAACGGTTGAGCTATGGCAAGACTCATGATTATTTAAAAAAAACAATGTGCGAAAAAATACGCAGAAGGTTAGGATTAGAGCCTTAAATTAGTCTTTAATTATGGTATAAGTAGTTTTGTGATTGAACTCTTATTCACGAAGTGGTTCTGCTAGCTACGTTTTTTTGCATAAACCGAAGAGCAATAAATTCGGAAATAGGGTAATAAATTAGCATCGAATTAGCCTTAAATTATGACCAAAGAAAAAATTGAAAAATCTAAATAGGTTCTGCTAGCTTTGGGGTTCGAGAACTAGAAAAATAACCACAGCTCCTTCACCAAATTTCAAAATCCTAGGCCAATAAAATCGTCAAACTAAAAAAAATTGTTATTCTTGTATCTAGAGCGCGAAATGCTACTTTGGTGATCAAGATCTGACTTTTTTAAAGAGCCGTAGCCGAGTTAAAAAAATAGTCGAGATGACCAAAGTATTTCGCGCTCGAGTTGCAAAAATTTTTTCTACAAACGTCAAAAAATATAGTTCTGAATTAAAAATATGCTTAGCTTGATATAAAAAATAGTGTTGAACTGGCTCGAAAGGCCTCCCCCTATCCTCCCTATAGGTACGCACGATGTTCCATGAACATAATAGGAATTTCCTTTCGTGCGCTCCAAGAGATGAAACAAAGTTATTGTTGAACATTCAGAAATAAATGATTTCAAGGATGTTTGCTCGATTGAGGACCATAAAGTTGAAATATAAATATCTCAAATATTTTACATAACAATGCGCGAAGTAGGTCTTCGCGCATTGTTTTGTGCAAGGTATCATGGTAATGTAGAAAACTGAAAAAAAGTGTCACTTCGCAATTTGTTATAAATGCGCGAACCTTGTCGTTTTTCGATGTTTGTAGAAAAAATATATGTTTAATTGTGGATTCTATAAATTGATATTAGGTACTCAGCGATACCAAATCATCATAAATGTTATTCTAAAGAAAAAAAACACAGATTCAGTTTTCAACGCCAAAAAATGCTGCTTGAAAAGTTTGAATCCTCATTATTTTTTTCGCAACTACAGGCCGACGACACATGTTTCGAATTTAAAAAGAAAAAGACGTGGCAAAGAATTTCCTCACAAAATATAATCGAATCAGAACAAGAGAAAAGAAGTATATATCGAGTGAATAGAAACAATCAGTCTCGTGATAGTCGGGGGAAACTTTTATGTATAGGACTTTCCAAAGTGAGGTGGAACACATCTGAAAGTTTGCGGATTAAAGCTGAAACAACTGACAAACACAAGACTCGATCGTGGAAAAAAAGTTGTTTTAAAAGTTTAATTCGAAGGCTCCATGTTCGCTTTGATTCCAGGGATTTCGGGACAGCAAATTGAGAGAATTTAGAACAATTTTTAATGAATGTGGTTCAGTTGTTGTTCTCCAGGAATTTCATTTTGATTAGGTATATGATGATGATATGAATACTTGGATTAATACTAATATTTTGCTTAAAATAGAGATGAGGAGAGATGATCCTAGAAAATTTGAAGAAATAAAAACATTGTTGCTTTAACAAAATATCTAAAATTACAAATAGCCTTATACAGGCTGTATCTGAATAACACAAAAAAAATAAAGGGGGGATTTCTTGTGATATTTCAGGCAATAAAGTTTACATAAACATATGTCTTAAAATGCTTCGTTTTCGAGATACAGGGTATTAATATTTCCATGAAAAATCTTTGTTCTATTCATTTCCCAATTGTCTTTTCATCAATTTTGGGACCATGAAAGCTTATACAGGGCGGTTATAAATAAAAACAACTTTATCTCAAAAACGGAGCAAGTTAATTCACATGTTTATATGAACAAGGAAATACCCCTTGAATTTTCTCGGTGTTATTTAGATACACCCTGTAGATCAATAAATCCATCAACAAAATGACTGTACTGTTTGTCCAACTATTTCAGATATATGTAGTGACAAATGAATACAAATAATGAATCATGAATATTGTTTTACAGCAGACCTTTTCATACCTTGGAAACATCTCTGATAACGGGCTGATTTGAAATTTAAATTCTTTTATCTCTTATTGCTATTGAACAACATATTATCAGGAGTTTATTGAGCGCACATATTCTCTGTCGAGATATAAGTTCATGTTTCATACGGACAATTTATTGCAAATATAATTGTTATGACGTTCTCAATATCTTGATTACAGTGAAATGTCAACAATATTCTCATGAAACAGTTCATATAGTATGTCATTCGCAATGATTGATAACTCAGTTAGATCGATGAAAACATGATCAATACAAGTGATGTTGGGCTGCATTGGAAGTAGGTAAGAAAACATAATGACCTTGAGTATATATGTATACACTAGTATTAATACTCAAAGATAATGATAAGATATGAACATTGTCCCAATGTTCGAATCTCCACTTCTTTCGCAGTCTTCAATGCATCAGGGCACTAACATGCCTTAATTAAAAACATTCGATCAACAATCATTCAATTTCACCGATCAAAGCAACGCAAGTGACATAATTCCTGGAACGAAATTAAAGAGGAAGGTCTCTCAGTTTATCCGACAGTAGCAAAAAAAGATCCAGTTATGCAATTTGGCAAATTGAGATAAATGCATTTCCCAAATTAGCATATCCATCGTTCATTTTAAATTGACCATCACAATAGAGCCTATCCTATAGTTTAGCGGATATTCAACGTCCTTGGATCAATTATATGCTTCATTTGTGTCCGACAACGTCCATTCAGAGCGTTTCAATCTTGCAGAACGACAGTTTATTGATGAAGAATGAACGACAAAGGTGATGTCAACGATTATGCGAAAAGCGAAGTGAACAACAAAGAAAATGGCAAGTCTGATAGTGCTGAAGAATTTGAAATAACAGTCGTGAGTGAAATCAAAGATGAACAAAAACAGAAAAAAGCTGTAGACATGAACGATGAAGAGAATACTATTAGTACCATCGACAGGAGTGAAGAATCCAGTTCCAGTGTGAGTAGGAATATGGAGGATATAAGGAATAATAACCACGCCAAACCTAATGGAAATGCAAAAGTTTCAAGTGCTGAAGATGATAGTAATGATCCAGGAACCAAAGTAGTTCCTCCAACTAAGAGTATAAGGAAAAAGAAGATGGTTCGCAGTCAGACAATGAGAGGATTTTCTAATGAAACTGATGGCAATACGAACAGGTAACCATAGGGTGATTATGTAACTGATTTCATAGGGACATTTTTTTCATTTCCTAAACGACAAGATAGAAAGATAATCAAATTAGAAGAAAGTTGCGTAGTCTAAACTTCTTCAAAATATTTTGAAAAAACTGAAAACCACTAATTTTGCTTTTAGTTATATTTGGCTCTGCTTTATGTGATAATTTCGACATGTTATACATGGCTGTGAAGGGAATGTATAGCCCTATTCAATGATATATACTTATTTATTATACAAGGGAGAAAAATAATAGAGGGATACAAAGAACCGAGGGCTAAAATCTATTTATTTCTGACAGTGACATTATAAGCTTATATCGTCATAGTTACGATATCTATAATCAGGGTCATAACTCCCTTGGGATGTTATAGATGCTATAATTCCCTCTAGCTAAAATTAAACAAGAAATGCATAGCAACAACCACGCAATAACGTAGCAATAAGGAATCTCCTATTCGCGGTAGTCAAGATCATCATCTGACGTTCTGATGACATTGAAACTATACGGAAAAACATGTCTAACTTCCAATCGGGAAGGTATCTAATGAATGAAATCAGTCAGAAATAAAATTATCTATGTATCACGGGAATTACAGAGCCTTAATAACCTCTGGCAATTGCTGTCCCTCGGGCCAGAGGCCCTCGGGACGCAAACTTTGCCATCGGTAATTAAGGCCCTCATAATTCCCTTAATACATAAATAACTATTATTTTCCGTGTATAATACACATTTTTTTCTGTGACAGAAAGAACGACGATTCAAATATCGAGAAGATATTACATTATAATAAAATCAGGATGTTATCGATGTGAAATTTGCAATTCTTAACTGGTAGTACATCTGTGTTTGTAGACATCTTTTTATAGGCATCTTTATTGTTGCTAGGGAAACCTTCTGAAGTAATCGAATATGTGTCAATTTAATTCTGTCTTTCAATTTCAAAAAATTGCAAACAGTGGTTGTTCAGTAATTTTCATAACCGCGAAGTGGAATGGAAGATGAAAGGACTCTTAGTTCTTTATTGGAGATGGTGATATTGGCACAACAGAAGCCATCAACAGTACACCTGTATATACGGGAAAAAGTACCCACTTTTTTCTAAGGGGAAAATAGTAATTAATGAAAATTGACATTTTGCAACCTGTATGTAAAAACTTCACAAACGATAAGATTTCACAAAATTCTCAAACACACGACATGTTTTGCTAACACAGTAACCTGTCAACATAGATAATATGTCTAACTTTTTTCCCGTCATAGTAAAAAAAAACTAATATAGCACCCATAAAAAGTTTAAATTATGCAACTCTTGTCAGATTTGATCAACTCCCTATGTCTAACCGTTGAGGAAATAGCAATAATATTCCTATGAAATCGGCGGGACCCTGTATATTGCATGTTATTTTCCACCTTGTTTTGCAGCCAATCAGAAAGCAATACCTTGCATGTAATCGTGGATGTTTAAAGCTTGCATGTGACCCCAGCTTCAACCAAATAATGTCAATTATCATGCCAATGACGTCCAGATGATTTCAATTCAACTTCTGTCAAACAAAATTTCTGTCACCATAGTGTCAAAATCGCGTACATACTAATGCGACGCCTTTCCTTTCCAGCAAAATGTTCAGTTGGCTGAATAGAGCAGCCGAAATCAAACCGGAATGCTACGAGAACGTAGTCGAAGGCCTCAAGAGCATCTACAAGAACAAGATGCTGCCTCTGGAGCAGCACTACCTCTTCAACGAGTTCCATTCGCCACCATTGAACGACGCTGACTTTGATGCCAAGCCCATGATACTGCTCGTCGGGCAATACTCCACTGGGAAAACCACGTTCATCAAGTACCTGTTGGAGAGGGATTTTCCAGGAATGAGGATTGGTCCGGAACCTACAACCGACAGGTTAGAGACATGGGAGATTGAGTCTATTGGCTCCTCTTTCTCCCAACTGGTCACAGCTATCATCACACAATTCAATGGACTTTTAGATTACCCTCTTACCTTCTTCCTCCAAGTAATACCTTTAGCTAACATGGACTTGTAGGGCATTACTCCACCAGAAAAACCACGTTCAACAAGTACCTTTGGAGAGAGATCTCTCCAGGAATGAGGATTGGTCCAAAACCTACTACCGACAGGTTAGAGACATGGAAGATTGAGTCTATTGGCTCCTCTTTCGTGCAACTGCTCGAAGACATCGCCACATAATCAAATGGAGATGACTTTTAGATTACCACTTACCGTCTTCCTCTAACTATTATCTTTAACTTTCTGACATGAACTTGTAGGGCAATACTTCACTATTAAAACCACGTTCAACAAATATTTGTTGGAGAAAGATTTTCCAGTCATGAAGATTGGTCCGGAACCTACTACCAACAGGATAGAGATAGGGAATATTGAGTAAATTGGCTCCTCTTCCTTGGGCAACTCCTCAAAGCCATCACCATTCAATTTAATCGAGATGTCTTTCAGATCACCATCTCACGTTCTTCCTGTAGCTATTATATTAGACTTGAGCTTTGAGCTAACATGGACTTGTAGGTTAATACTCCACTGGGAAAACCACGTTCAAAAACTGTTGGAGAGGGATTTTTCCGGGATGAGGATTAGTCCCCTGACAAGTTATAGACAGGGGAGATTGAGTCCATTGGCTTCCCTTCCAACTGCTCTAAGTCATCACAATACAATCTGATGGATATCACTTCCAGATTACCTTATACATCTAACTATCATCCTCAACTTTGAGCTTCGATCTAATATGGACTGTTATTTCATAGGTTTATAGCTGTGATGTATGGAGATAGTGAAGGGGTAGTACCAGGAAATGCTCTGGTGGTGGATCCAAAGAAGCAGTTCAGACCGTTGTCTAGCTTTGGAAATGCTTTCCTCAACAGATTCCAGTGTTCTACTATGAAGTGCACAGTACTGAAAGGGATGTCCATCATTGATACACCTGGAATACTCTCAGGTATGGATATATTCAATTCAGTAATAATAACATAGAACCAAAGAGAGGACATGTTTTTTAAAATTCAATGATTAATGATCAGAAAGAATCATGGACCTTCTAATTCTTGTCATGCCCATGAAATATTCGAAAGCTAGAGGAATTCACTGAGAAAAACAAGACTTTGATATCAGATCAATGAATACAGATTGCTCTACATTTGACCACTTCTGTGAACCCACCCAATCTTCTATTTGTTTCTAAACTACATTTTCAACACGTATCGCCAATATAAATCTCGCTTATTTGCGGGTCCTATAATATATGCTAGTCCTACGCACAATCCATTCGTCTTTTCATTCTTTTTTCACCCCATGTAGGTGTATCTAGAATGAAGGCAATATAAGGGTTTCAACGTGCAAGATATCAGGCTTGAGTGCCAGAAAGGTAGGGGGTTAGCAAGAATAAATGAGGGGTCCAGGATTTGTATCGGTATTGATATTTCATAATTCCGAAGAAGGAAATTGGCTATACAATATTTTTCAAGTAATACAGGTACATGTAATGACTGAAATTTGTAAAAAGATTCCAAACGAAGTCTTCAGGAGAATCACTTGTTCAGTCTATAATTATAGGTTCATGATATCTGTTTTATGAATATGTTTCGCTACATTGAGTATCATTCTATCTAACATATACCTGAAATGTGCAACATGTTTTGTGAACATATTTTCAATAGGTCTTGTAGTTTGACCTGCATGCTTTTCCCGATCGTTGATACTAATTCCCTAATTTTTTTCCGAAGAATTATTTTTTTTTGATCCGAACTCATATACGCTTGCGTCAAAAATACCAAATCAAATTCATTCACACACAATATACCCATAGCCTAGTGAAAGTTCCCCAATATTTCGAAAATTCCCGATTAAGGAATGCCAATTCAGAAGGTCCATCTTGACTAGGGTCCTTTGATGTGAAATGACGTATTTGTCATAACAGGGTACGGACAGATCCTCGTCTCCTCTCACTCTAAAGTGTTTGTGAAACAGTTATATAGTTCCATCCTTATTCAATTCTGGGGATAAACTTGTTTTTTAGGTTATATTGAGGACATTGGCGTATCATACGTAATTTCCACATGTAATTTCTCATTCGACCATACCAATTATATCCAAATGATGAAAATTTTCGAGTTTTTGATTTTTCAACTCCAGCATAATCTTTGTGAGGCAGTGAGCAAATTTTTCTGAAAGTTTGATACGTTTTACCAAATGGGACTGTTCTCAGACAGTAGGTACCTATCAATAAATGAATTTTGATTTCAGACTAAGCCTTATGGTTGAGAAAAGGTTAAGAATTTTATGTAGGTATGCAAACTAATCTGCTCATATGTCATATGTTCTGTATATATTCATGTTGGGAATCATTTTTGCAGTTTTTCACGAATTTTTCCTGAATGTAGATATAATTCTCAAAATGGTAGGGCATATGCCTTTTCTTTCAGTCCATATTCTAAGTTCATTTACATTTGATGGAAAGCTGACAAATTCAAATTTGCCATCCAACTGATTGATACAGCCTAACGCAGCACATTTTACCATCCTTCCAAAACAGATTGAATAATGTCGTCTTAGGATCAAGTATGAAATTGAAATTTTGTAAGATCTCTTTTAACGCCTATGAATGTCATGCCAGGGACGCCAATACACGAAACCAAAGTCACTAGATGATTAAAAGAGAAAGGAGCTATGATCTGTCCGTACCCTGTTAGATGACAAATACGTCAGTTTGCATCAAGTGACCCTGATTTTGACCACATCCATTTTCAATTTCTCCATACCTCCCCATGGCGAAACTCTGTCCATTATTGATACACGCACGGTCTGAAGACAGAGACCGATGCAAGGTGATATTATGCTCGGGAGAAAACGTGAGGCAGTAAGGGCTGATTTACGAGGGCATCCGCTTGATATACGGGCCGAGATTTGTTTAAAATATGGGTCGTCGTAGCTTAATAACGCTGAAAAATATGCCGTGGATATTCCTGCGTTGTTTAGGCCTAATTTATTCTTCAGAGGTAGTAGAAAACACCGGTGATGCATCGTTCCTGATTGCTGATGAAGGGAGCTCTAAGGGATAAGGGGTTAGAGGTGAGGGAAGCAGGATATTCGGGTCAGGTTGTGAATATTGCACGGGGCTAGGCAATCGAGTTTCCCGGATTTCACTTTAGCTCTCTCTCCGGGTACATTGAAACACAGGAACTTCATCTTCCCTACATAAATAATCGTCTTCTAACATACAATTTTTCAAAGAGGGCAATGAAGTCAATAATATAAGTTCACATATTGGAGAGCACGAAAGGGAATCCCTATAATGTTCGAAAAACATCGTGGAGGAATGTAAAAGAAGGTAGGTATTGCAATTTCTTACTGTTTTCCAAGAAATTCCGTTCTATGAATGTACAAAATTTCATAAAGAGTTATTCGACATATTTCAAGGTTGACATGTTGACAATCAAAGGATGTGCTAACTATACAGGGTGTCCCTAAATAACTCTGCCAAACTTCACCAGCGACCTCTCCGACAAAAAATAGAAGGAATGCCATAGGAAGGTTGGCAACTTTTCATGATCTGTAAAACGGTGTGGATTTTCAAAATCCGAGATTGAATTATTGAAAAATATGCATATAAAAATGTTTGAGCAATATTTAATGTAGTCCCACCATGTATCATCCACTCCTGAATGAAATTTTAGAATGATTTATGGAGAACTTTTTTTTTTCAAGAAGCATTTTCAGACCCATGTTCCTATGAACCTTTTTTCATATTTTGTTGAAAGATATCTCCCGTAGGCTTTCGTCGCCACAGCTCTGAAACACCCTGTATATATCAGCTATTAAAGTCGTACGATTTCTAACAAATTTTGACCGGTATGAACAACCATTTCAGAGACGAATATCCTTATGGAAAGTGCCATTGAAATATAAAGGGATCGATTTTCATGAAATCATAATATAAGGAAATTTTTTGCGAAAAATCAACTTTATATTACTGTTTCCCATGCTTTCGAACCTCCATACGCAAAAAATCACATCATTCTGAATTGACAGGACTGGCTTCATTTTTTCGTTTTCAGCCTCGAAAAAATAGTGAATTCAAATTGACTGCAAATTTTGGAACGTTCAATGGCTCCGGTAGGTAAAAGATCATGATTTGGAAGAAAAAACAAGATTTTATAAATACTGTCTGTAGGTTAATCGAGGTGGTACATTCATTTTGTTTGATTATTTGTTGAACACACCGTTTAAATGTTAAGATGTGCCCTTTGTTTGGAAAAATTTCATAAAAATCACATGAAAGTTTACTTATGGGAGTTTGAATCCATAAAGAACAATATTATGATGTCAGTTTTTCTGTGAAAAAATCCTTATATGATTTCATGAAAAATTTACCCCTTTTCATTTTAATAAAAATGCACGGATCAAATCAAATTTGGTAAAAATCACCCAAGTAAAAGCTAAGATAAAGAGGAGGGGCCGTTCGAAATGGGACACGCTGTATATCATGAATCCATTATGAGTGACTCTGACATTGTCCACCATTGCCTTATACAATCGCAGATAATTGGAATATCAATCGAATACCACTAATATAACTAATTGAGCACATCACAATTCAATCGACTAGCCAGTCGTCGCAATATATGTTTTGACCACCAATTTTCCACGTGACAATTTCATGAAATTCCAGGTGAAAAGCAAAGGATAGACCGCGGCTACGACTTCACAGGAGTCCTGGAATGGTTCGCAGAGCGAGTAGACCGCATCATCCTGCTATTCGACGCTCACAAACTAGACATCTCCGACGAATTCCGCAGGTCGATCGAAGCCCTCAGAGGCCACGATGACAAAATTCGAATAGTCCTCAACAAGGCCGACATGATCGACCATCAGCAACTGATGAGGGTATACGGTGCCCTCATGTGGTCCCTGGGAAAAGTCCTCCAAACCCCTGAGGTCGTTAGAGTCTACATAGGTTCCTTCTGGGACGAACCCTTGAGATTCGACGTCAACAGGAGACTCTTCGAAGACGAAACGCAAGACTTGTTCAGGGACCTCCAGAGTCTCCCGAAGAACTCGGCGCTGAGGAAGCTCAACGATCTGATCAAGCGTGCTAGGCTAGCCAAAGTCCACGCTTATATAATCGCCGAGCTGAAAAAAGAAATGCCCATGTTCGGCAAGGAACACAAAAAGAAAGACCTGATCAAGAAACTCTCTAGTATCTACGATAAGCTGCAGAGGGAACACGCCATCTCCATCGGAGACTTTCCAGACCTCAACAAGATGCAAGACACCCTCGCCAAGCAAGACTTCAGCAAGTTCCACTCGCTCAAACCGAAGCTCTTGGACGTCGTCGACGAAATGCTGTCCAACGACATATCGCAGCTGATGAACATGATACCACATGACTCTAGTCCTACTGCGCAGGACCAGGTGACAGGGGGGGCTTTCAACAATGTGGAAGACAAGGCGACGCCGTTCGGGTACAAGAGTGGGGAGGGATGCAACGCAGGCTTCGGCGAACCCGATTGGATCGTGAACAAGGACAGAGAGACATTCGATGTGTTGTTCGAGAGCTTGAACCCGGTGAACGGGAAGCTGTCGGGGGCTACTGTCAAAGAGGAGCTGGTTAAGTCGAAGCTGCCGAACGCGATTCTGGGTAGGATATGGAAGCTGGCTGATGTCGACAAGGACGGGTACCTGGATAAGGACGAGTTTGCTTTGGCGATGCATCTGATTAACGTGAAGCTGCAAGGGAACGAGATTCCGGTGAATCTTCCGGATCATCTCGTACCGCCGCATAAGAAAGATAGATTGTACGTTTGTTGAGTTACGTGCTAAATAAAATTGTGTGAAATTTCATTGTTGAGCTTGAGTGAGGATATTGATGGTGTCACAGTGAAACTCGGTTAATCCTCTTGAATAAATTTGTCACATTACATTCTTCGGGTCCGCCACAGCGCCGACATTTATATACTTCCTACACCTGTAGGATGACATTAAACCTAGCCATAAAACATTTTTCAGGATTATAATCACATTTAATGCACTTCTTTTATACGTGCTCATAACTTGATACAAAGTAGAGGTGTTTAAATGTGATTTTATAACGTACACGGCTTAATATCACCGAATCCTTTTTTCTGGCTGTGAATCAAGTTTTATTGAGTCGAAGGTTTTAACGGATTTCATAAATTGCGATGACACTAAGCTATGAGAATGTTTTGCAGGAGATAGAAGCAGAAAGACGATGGAACAAGGACAAGCGGGTGTTTGATCATTATTTAATGGCATCCTAACACTAATAATATGACAATGTATTTATTAAATGTTTCGAAAGAAAAGTCTATTTTTCCAATTTTTTGAGTATGGTATCAAATTGAAATAATGAAGTTGGCTTTGATATCAAGAGGGTATATTTTTTTGGAGATGTATTGGAAATAATATACCTATCCAAGAATGTATTGTTTGCTTCCCTCATCTCGCAAAAGTTTCGACTTATGGGGGAATGCAAATGGAAAAAAAAAGAAATCATGAGATTTTTTCGAAAACGGTCTAATGTAAATTTTCGTAAACAGTTGAAGATATCGGGTTTGGCAAGCAATTTGGGACATCCTATTTACCGGATTTGAGATTGATTGAATTTAATGTAATTTATCGAGAATACAACCTCCAGTCAAGCACAGGTTCTGGTCCAAGCAATGAGTTAACGATAGCATCGATACCATACTTGCACAAAAATGATTCATAGTCATATAGCCCATCCATCAAGAATCAATTACTTACTTTGTGTGCTGTGCTGAGGAATAATTCACGTACCAAATAGAAAACCTCAAAAGCAGATCGGCCATCCGTTCTGATCGTACGAGAAGGGTGAAACGTTAATTGAAACGAATCACTTTGAAAGCGCCACAACTAGATTCGGCCACCGAGAAATTCGAGATCGAAAAACGGCCCTTTGCACACGACCCGAGGCCGTACTAAACCAATTAGAAAGAATGAACCGAGCGACCTTTTGTTCTAATTGTCGTCGGGGTCTCCGGAGTAGAGTTTTTGCTGATGCGATAGGCCATTTCGAACTCTTCTGGAATCAGAAGTGGGATTAGTCGAACCAGACTGGATTTGAATAATATATGGAACTTTAGTTGTTCGAATGAAATGCTCGTTTTCTTCACTGAGATTCAGTTGCAGTAACTGTTTGAGAAAATATAAAATTTTTCATCTGTATGAAACACACAATAGCTGCATTTTTCCTTCTTGATACACCAACTATCAAAAGAAGTTATAACGAAAATAAACGAAATTAGGCCATATCGTATTACAGCGATTGTTTCAACTCTTCCAAGGATTATTAATTCCAGAGGACCCCGCATTGGCTGGAATTTCACTATGTTGTGGGATGGCTCATTAGGAAAATATGTGAATTTAAAAAGTTTTATATGCTTAGTTTCAGAGATATAAGCCGACAAAGTTCGTAAAAGTAAAAACGTCGCAGCGCGGTGGGATTGACAAAGAAAATATCGGTCTTTTCAGTTTCAAGAATCAAAATACGTTTTCGAAGCCTACAATAGATTGAAACCATGATGACAATGTCACACCAAAATATAACTTGTTGATTTTGGAATAGTTTTTCTAAAAAATTAACTGTTTACTATAATTATAACTACGTCTCTTCCAATTCTACTTCGAGAAGCGCCAAGTTGATTTCGAAAAGTATCTATTGTATTTCAATCAATCATTTCAATTTCAAAAATAATCAAATGTATTTCGAATTGATCAATTCAATTTCAAAATGCGTTATTTGTATTTCGAACTGGTCATTTCAATTTAAAAAAGTATCAGCTGTATTTCAAAATTATCAATTCTATTTGAAAATGCATCAATTGTGTTTCAAATTAGTCATTTCAATTTCAAAACATCATTTTCATTGATGATGCCACAATGACAGGAACCAAAAGCCAGAAGCGTTTCAATAACGAGGTGAATGAAAATATCATCTATAAAACCCATCTAACCTTTTCCTGTACTTTTTCAGTTTTGAATTTCAAATGATGCATTATGAAAAACATCATTTTTTGAATACAATTAAGGTTTTTTGAAATTGAAATGACTAATTTGAAATACAATTGCCCCATTTTGAAATAGAATTTATAATTTAGTAATTCATTTGATACTTTTCGAAATTAAACTAACTAATTTGAAATACAAATGATGGATCTTGAAATCCAAATGACAATTTTGAAATTAAATTTACCATTTTTGAACTATAGTGTAGACATAATGTTTATCAGTTCCGATCAATACATTTTTCATCTTACTTTGTCTTATTTACACTGAAGAACAGTTTTCTTCTTTGCCAATCCTACTATACGACGTTTTTACGAACTTTGGCGGCTTATATCTCAAAAACTATAAACGCATACAAAATTGTTTATAGAAACAGGGGAAGTCTATCTGAATGGATGATTCATAATTTCATTACATATGATATGATTGTATAGTAGCACCGAACTGAATAAAAGACGTTGCCACATTTTATACTACATTTTCCGCAAATCGTATTTTGCTGTAACTCTCAAAGTTGGAATTGGTTCAATCGTGTTATAGTGAAAGATAAATGAACGAATTCTTTTGGAATATGGAAGCACCCAAGAATTTTTGTTCTTGGAATGAGAAGAACAACTTGTGGACTTCAACATTGTCAAAAATTCTAGTGTATTTTTTCATTCAGTACATTTCAATAATCTGATAATATGAAACTGATACTGAATATAGAAGCATTTGAAGATGGATCAAAACAATCACCCTACTTTCACAACATAATATAGTACAGGCAATAAAAAAACATATCTGCACGTGAAGGAAATCAAATCAGAAGTGGGATTTTCACACGACAGAGTGTGAAAAACGACACAAACGGAGCCGACAAACCCATAAAACCTCGTGCAACAACTCGTCCGACTTTGCCGGAGCATACAAAGTCAACAAGAAATAATAAAATGTGTTCCTGTTAATATAAACAACGCATTCAGAGCAGCCATTCACACACGCACACTTTCGACATAGCTTTCGATATTCGATACACCATTGCGGGGCAATACAAATATTTACCTGCGGCTAACCTAATCTGCGCGGGAAAAACACGGAACGAAACGAAATCTGACCTGCCGTCACGGCACATGTCGTGACAGAGTATTTCTATCATACGGAGTGTTGTTATTGAAACAGTTCGAAAAAAAAAATCTTCAAACTGATGAATAGATTGTTTTGAATGGAGGTGAGGTGTTGTAATGAAGTGATTTGGAACCAGCTTCATTACTAGACTGGTTTCGATTAATATCTAAGTACCTGAGACTGATTCTAGTTGAATTTCACTTGTTCGAAATCTTGAAACCAGAAAACCTGAGAGAGCTGAGTAATTCATTTATTCCTGACATTCCAAAGCTTTTCCTGATAGGTGCTGATAGTAAACTCCGATAACCATCATCACAACCCTAAAGACTTCGATAAGTTTCGACCACGGACTCCTCACCAAGCTTCCATATGGCTTGCCTCCCCAGCTATGTTCTCTGCTAGCTAGTTTTCTGTCGAACAGGTTTCTCCATGTAGTGGTCGACGGAGTTTCATCTGACTCTCTTATCATAAATGCTGTTGTTCCGCAAGGATCAACTCTAGCACCAACAATATTTCTACTCCATATCAACGATTTGTTGGAAGCAACTTCATGTCCAGTACACAGCTTCCAGGGCTCCAATTCCAGCCAGGCAAATTAGAAACGAACGAGGGAGAAATGTCGACAACATAAATATGGACTTGGCAACAATTCTCGAATGGGGATCCAATAACTTGGTAGATTTCAATGCAAACAAAACACAAGCATGCCTTTTCTCTAGAAAAGTCGAAATCACTGTGTCCAACATAAGCTTGTCAGGAGTAACCATACCTTTGAAGACATCCATTTCGATGCTGGGGATCATACTATCAGCAATAACCTTTCTTGGGAAAATCACGTGAGATCAATTGCTTAAAGTGCATCCCAAAAACTTGGTTTTCTGTTTCGGGCCAGCAGATATTTCACTTCCAGTCAGCTGTTTATGGTCTATAATTCACAGATCCGACCTGTCCTGGAATACTGTTCCCATATTTGTTCCTCCCTTGGCAGTCCCCGCGAGATTAACCCGTCGAGATGAGGCTTCGCACCCCTTCTTGGTCACTTTGGAGACCTGCAGAACATCTCTTTCCAAAGACTCGTTCATCCAACGAACAGCGAGGTTCTGGAACATATTGCCAAGGGAGGTGTTCCCCTAGGCATATAACCTACAGAAAAAATTTAAGGAGAACACCAACTCTTACCTTATTTCCCTTGGTTCTCACGATGTTCTCTGAACATTACAGGATATACCTTCTCTTGGGAACCAGAACATAAAAAAAACTATAAAATATGAGGATTGAAAACCAAAATTATCGTGACTATACCTTTTCAACTTCAATTTCGGAATCGGTAAGTTATATTTCGGAAAAAGTAATCTCGATTTCAGAATTGGTTAGTTCGATTTCAGAAATGGTAAACTTAAATTCAGAATCGGTGAGATGAATTTCAGAAAAAGTCCATTCAATTTCAGAAATGGTAAGTTGTATTTCAGAACTGGTAGGTTCAATATCATAAAAAAAAATCCTTATATTTGTTCGAAATGTTTCCAATTGCATGTGAGAGTAACAAACCATATTTAAAATATTCAACTTTTCAAAAACAATTGAATCCACAGATGCCTTCCATCTGAATCGCTGGAAGATAGTGGCGTTGCACATGATTATAAGAATGCAAACACATTTGAGGTGTTATCATGTTCATTGAATGATC